AAGATACGATGTACAAGCTCCTCCGGAAATTCCACGTAAATCCACCGCCCGAATAAACGGCAGTATACTGAACGACCGAATGATCCAATGGTGAGGGATCAGCTACATCACAGATATGTAAGGAACCAGATCGAGACAGGTTGGCTACGACGATGAGTGGGTCTTTCCAAGAAGGTGTAGATCATTCAAAGAAGCAGAGGAAATTCGTTTGAAAAATTTGGACACAGTGGAAAAGTACTTCCTACAGTTTCCACTTAAATAACATAATAAATCTCCTTGCAGGAAGAATAATTATAATAAAACATCCAAGTACCTAGGGGTGACCCTTGACAGCGAATGTGTCCTGCTATTTCCCACTTCGAGTGGTAACTGAAAAAAGCTACTTTTCAGTTCATCAAACCCGTAGCCAAGCTCTCAAAAAGACAAAACGATAGTAATAAATCGCTTTCTTTTAAGGCCGTCACAATAGGTGGCGATTTTGTAGCTACCACTCAAAGTGAGAAATAGCAGGACACATTCTCTGGCTTCGTTGTATATACCATAATAGTAAAATAGGCGATAATTTCAGTTGATGCTCGTGTAACTCATATATACGTTGAAATGAAAGCAAACATTTTAATAACATTAAAACTAGTTGATGAATTGGAACGAGAACTTTTTTACCTATTTTTGGAATTAATTTTACCAAAATTTGTGGAATTAAATAAATTTTTCCAAAGCGATAAAGTAGTTATCACAAATTTGCACAGCGAAATGATCACAGTGTATAACGATATATTGCCTACTTACATGGACCCACGATATATGGGACAAACTAATGTTGAAACAATTGATTCTCAAGATATTACAAAATTTGTCAACATGTATCTGGGAATTGGGGTGATATGGAAAAGTTGCAGGCGTTCCTTGATTTCAGTTTGTATGAAAGCACAAAAAGAAATGATTTTGCAGATTCAGTCATGGGAAAGATACTTTTCTAAATAGTTATCAAAGAATTAACAGTTGTCAAAGTATTTTACCAAGAACATCAAAATTGCTCCTAATTTGTAATCCTCAAGACCTACAAACGATGCCAGGATATTCCAATATAATTCGAAAATCTGGATGAATTCTATTTTAAAGTCGACCAAAAAAACATATTGACGGTCATGCCCTGTTTGTTAATTTGAGTGACTTTGTATTATCTGCGTTAGCTTTACTTGATTATAATGCAAGTTGTCAAATACAATTTTCAAGAGTAAGTTTAATAAATCTTCTTCTTCTTTCTTCTTTGTCAACCATTTTCCATCCACTCCTGAATGTAGGTCTCTCCCAATTGCTTCCATCTTTCTCTATCTTGCACCAATCTAATCCACTGTTTGCCTGCCACTGCTCTTATGTCATCTACCCATCTTTTTTGAGGTCTTCCCATGCTTCTTGTTGTCGTCCTTGGTCTCCATTCTAGAATTCTCCGTGTCCACCTGTTGTCATTATATCGGGCTACGTGACCTGCCCAGCGCCATTTCATTTTTGTAATTTCTTCCACAATATCCCTAATCTTCGTTCTACGTCGTATCTCGGTGTTTCTAATCTTGTCTCTTAGTGATATTCCAAGCATGATTCGTTCCATTGCTCTTTGCGTTGTTTCTAATTTTTTGGCAGATTTTTTGGTAAGTGCTACTGTTTCCAAGCCGTAGGTACAAACAGGTAGTATGCATGTGTTATACACCTTTTTCTTTAAGTTTATAATAATGGAGGTGTTTTTCAAGATATGTGCTAGTTTGCCGAAAGCGCCCCGAGCCAGTTGTGTTCTTCTTTTAATTTCAGCATCTTGATTTGGTTTTCCTAGTTTGATAACATGACCTAGATATACATAATGTTCCACATTTTCTATGGTATGATTTTGTATTGTTATATTTGTCTGGTCTCGGCTCAGTATTTTTGTTTTGCTGTAATTCATTTTTAAGCCTACCGCTAATGAAACTGCATTTAATTGTTGTAACATATCATTTAGTTCTTGGATATTATCGGCTATTAAAACTATGTCATCTGCGAATATCAAATGGTTTAAGTATGATCCGTCGACGTTGATACCCTTGTTCCATTCCAGTTTCTTAAAAATATCTTCTAGAGCAAGGGTAAATAGTTTGGGAGAGATGGTGTCTCCTTGTCTTACTCCCCGTTGTAGTCTTATGGGATTAGTTTTTGTGCTTTCGTCCAGCTTTATATGCATGGTGGCATTTTCATCTAATTTCATATAATTCATTTAATTATGTTAATGTATCTTGAATCTATGCGTGCATTTTCTAGAGATTCAAACACTGCCCATAATTCGATGGAATCGAATGCTTTATGAAAATCGACGAACGCCATATGAATTGGAACATTATACTCGGTGCATTTTTCTATCAGTGTTCTTACAATGTGCAAGTGGTCTATGGTATTAAAATGTTTTCTGAATCCAGCCTGCTCGATAGGTTGATAGAAATCGAGCTTATGTGTTAGGCGGTTGGTTATGATTTTAGTTAGTAATTTATACAGTTGTGATAGCAAGGATATTGGTCGGTAATTCTCGATGTTTGCTCTGTTTCCTTTCTTGAATAATAAAATGACCTCGGAGTTGTACCATTCTTGAGGAATCTTTCCTTCATCAATTACTTTATTAAATAAAACATTTAATACCTGTTCCATTTTTCTGCCACCCATTTTCAACATTTCAACTGTAATCTTATCCTCTCCCGGACATTTATTCGTTTTAAGTTGATTTAAGGCCATTCTTATTTCATAGTCGGTTATGTCCGGTATTTCTTCTGAGCCGGTGTTAATTATTGTTCGTTGAGTACGTCGTTGTTGTGGTTGTGTATTTACCGAGTATAGTTTAGTGTAGAATTTTTCAATGGCCTCGCTTATTTCCTTTCTGTCTCTGACGATGACGTTTTTCTCATTTTTTATTTCTATGATTTTTGTTGTGCCGCTTGAGTTTTTTGCTTTGAGTACTTTCATGTTGCAGTTATTATCTTGTATTATATTTTTTATTAGATTGTTATTATAGTTTCTATGATCGTTCCTGATTTCTTTCTTTACATTTTTGTTTAAACTTTTAAAGCTGTCCGAAGTTCGATCTGTTCTGTTTCGTCTTTCTTGGAGTAGTTTAATTGTATTAGGTTGGAGTTAAGATGTTTTGGCTGTTTTCGTGTTTGAGCATATTTTCTTAACCGATGTTGTTACATTTATTTTTATTTTAGTGGCTAGTCCGTTTATATCCATTTGTATCAGTGTCTCTATTGATTTTAGTCTTGTGCTTAGCTCTTTTTGGTATTCCGTTTGTTTTTGAAACAGGACATCGGTGGTTGGGTATCGTTCTCGTTTAATAAGTTTGCTTCGTTCAACTCTCGTCTGTATTTTAATGTTCGCTCTAACCAATCTATGGTCACTCCAGGTATAGAATTTGTTTATTACTGTCACGTCGGTGCATATGTTTTTGTTATTGGAGAGTATGTAGTCTATTTCGTTCTTAGTTTTCTTGTCTGGGCTGATCCATGTCCATTTACGTTGTTTAGATTTTTAAAGAAAGTGTTGAGACAAAATAAATTTTCGTTGTTTAAGTAGTTGTACAACATCTCATCCCTTTCGTTCCTGTTGTCCAGCCCAAAGCGACCGATATATTGTGTGTCGCCGTCTTATTTTGTACCAATTTTTGCATTAAAATCTCCTGTGATTATTACGAAGTGTGATTTTTCTTGGTTCCTTGCTGTTGTCAGATCCTCGTAGAATGATTCAGCTTCCTCGTCTGTTGAGTTTCTTGTCGGTGTATATCCGTGTATTATCTGTAAGCTGTATCTGCTGTTTAAAGCGAGGACAAGATATATGACTCTGTTTGATATAGCACAGTACTTCGTTATTTTATAGGGAGTTCGTTTGTTTACTAGGAACGCTACACAGCCTATGTGATGATTTTCTACGGAGTTTTTCTGGTATAGTTGGTGACCAGATTTTAAGATGGTACATGCTTCTCCTGGTAAGCGAGTTTCGCACAGTCCAATTATATCCCATTTGATATTTGAGAGCTCTTGTTCTAGTTCGTCAAGGTGTTCTTGGGTCCTCATAGTTCTTATATTGTAAGTGGCTATACGAAGCAATGGTGGGTAGTTTTTCTTATTAGATTCAGTCGAATATTTGCCTCCCCCAGAATCCATGAGGCTGACTGATTGCTCAGTGTGAGATTCTGAGTGTATAACTCTACTCACCTGGGGTAATTTCGTATTGATACTCGACATCTTCAACTTGGGAGGTTTTAGCATATTTAAAACGCCACGCTTGCCGAGCGGGTTGGCGAGTGAATCTATACAATCCCTAAAATCAGAGGATTGCCACTTCCGCCGTCCACGCCGTACCGAAGGTATTCTTCTCCGCCGTGTCTGCCGTTGTGGACTTCATCCGTGACCCTGGACAAGGGACCCTAAGCAGGTACTAGTTTCCCGGGTCAGGAAACCCCTGAAATCTACGGAGGGCAGGGATTGATTCATTTTCCCTGATAGGACTATTGAGAGGAGTTCCTACTCGCTACCTGCAAGTTTAATAAATAAGTTTAATAAACTGCAAGAAGTTGAGTTCACATTAACTGAATATTTTTTTTACTTTGAGTTTTTTTCTTTTAACTTATTTGTTTGTTTATTATATTCGTTTGTTTCTTTTACAAAAATTAAATGTATTATTTTTTCTACTTTGTTAATTTTAATTCAATAGAATATAAGTATAGTAACAGCATACGATTTTCTGACTTCGATGACCTGGCAACTCTGCTGTTATAGACACATACCTAATAATCGAATGTTTTTGGTGACTCAGTCTACTAATTTAGCTTTATCGTTTTAAATGTTTCTCTCAGTTAAAACGCATACCTAGCTTAAATTATTTCGGATATGGTACATATACTTGGTTTGATTTTTACAAATAACTAAAGACTTTTAAACAACATGATATATTCACAATAACCAATAATATTTTTGTTTATTTTGCAGGCGGTCTATACATTACCGAGAGGATGTATAATAAGCATATTGGTGTTATTACTGCCCCAATTATACTGGTTTTACTTGATGGTAACTGGAGCCACCAAAGTTCTGAGACGCCCAGTTGTCAACAATAATAACACGAAAAATTTGAAGAGTAAATAGATATTTTCGGTAACACTTGTGTTTTGAGGTTGATGTTAGGAAAGAAGATGGTTGTGAAATAATGTAGAGCTTAAGAAAAATCAGTCCTGAGCAACTATTTATTTTTATAGGTATAATTATTTTATAAGATTTATTACGCATTTATTGTAGAATAATCGAAATATTCTTTTGCATCTCCACACAATTTTATTAGATATACTTGGAAAAAGTATATTGTGCAGCCAACACGAAATTATACTTGTTTCCACGGGAGAAATCGTACCGTTCCACCAAAATTTTTATATATTTTTTGTTGTTATATTTTTGTTACTAGCGAAGGGATAGTTCGAAGATGTTGCTTGGTTTTTGGATAACCTGAACTGTCTTTTTTTATTATCCGACCTTAATAGTTCTGATCAACATTAGAACATTTTTTGTTTTTTTTTTGCATTAGTGTAGGTTAATAAATTATAATATCTTAGTTTTCAAGTGCGTGCCTTAACCACACAGATTTTTGCATTTTTTATTGACATGTTCTTGAAAAATATTATGAGTTCTTGAAGCGATAAAATCTCTGTGTTTTCAAAATGCTGTGCTTTACTCTTCTTTATGATTTTTGTCTTGGCCTGTTCTTTACTAATATTCATTATTTTATATTCTCTTTGGCTACCTCATATCTGATATATAGTAATTTTCAGTAGTCAATTTATAAACGTCTCAATTTTTTTTGAATCACAAAACAAATTGATAAATTTTTGGTTACATGACTACATCACAGAATAATAAACAAACAGAATACCCACTCTCCACGGAAAATTAAGTATGCGCATCTCCTCCGCGCAGACGTTCCGCCATGTTTTAGGAGGATTTTAAAGAAATTAGTGTTGTTTATGTGGTGTGCATGGAAAAATTAACCAAGTTTATTTGACTTACGGCAATCATAGACATACTATACAATTATATTAACACTGTTAAATATAATAACATAAATATAATATAATTAAACATAAATATAAACAATTACATAACCACACAAATCATATGTTTGTGTCCTCCTAAAACATGGCGCGCGTGCTGAAAAACTTCAAAGGCGGCACCTGAGAGTGGCCCTTCTGGTTGTTTATTATTCTGTGACTACATGAGGTACACTTCCCGTCATATAAAACTGGTACACTTTTTTTTCCCAATGTAAACCTGTGTTCAGAAACCAATTCGTTGTTGCCATTACAGATAATGGAATTGCACTAAATCTAAATAAAAAAATAACCTTCAAAAATGTATAAAATTTTTAAAAGGGTATTATTTTTATCATTACGAAAAAAAAAAAACAATCTAAGAAATTAAATAAGCAGAGATAGGGTTGAGTTATTATCCAAAATGAATTTGAAGGATCTTTAAACCTAGGATATTGGCACAGGGAACATTGGAATACATCTACTGTAATTTTATAGTTTAATTACCTACCGAACTCGAACTGTATTCTGTGTCAATAAGTTTTGTAACAGGCAAACTTCCAAGATTAATTTATTATTTATTACAAAAACGATAAAAAATGTGAAAAACTAACATTATACTTTATCCTACGTATTATATACTAGAAAATACTCGGTGCGAAAAAACGCTTTTCAAAATGTAACAGTTACAATCCAATATCTCATTGTAATGTTTTATTATAATAATTTGACGTTTGTCTAGATTGATTATCTGTCATTATTTTTGAATTGAAATATTTTCATAAATTGTTATAAAACACAAATAAATGTACGGGTACTTAATTGAGATGATGGAAAATTACAAAATTAATAAGAGAATTTTGAATTTTTAAGATGCATGTTTAAACAAATTTAATGTGACTGACTGATCGAGAATGCTCGATAATGTTTTAGTTTTTAGTATACTCAAAACTGGTGGTCTGTCACACAGCCTTGGTTTTAGCTGGTTTTATATAATAATTTCATTGAACTGGCAACGGTGCCCTAGAAATCAAAATGACACATGTGACAAGATCAACATACACAACTTAAAAAACATGATTTTTGATTATAAGAGTTTTACCAGTTTTTTTATGACGGGAACGGTACCTACTCATAGTTTTTATGAAATGTACTAGAAGTATTCATTAAAAATGATCATCCGTCATTTTGTATCTGTCATTATTTTGAAGTGATCATGTGGCAAGTTCTGGAATATTTGAAAGGTCTGGTGTCACTCAGTATGTTTTTACTATCGCACCTTTTTAAAATGGCGACGACTCACTTTTAAATGACGAAAATTGAAAAAGGTAATGGACTACAATTAATAATTTGGTAGTCTTCAGTTTTTATGAGAAACTCTCGAACAGTGGAATTTGTTTTTCCCATTTCCCACAATCTGATAGAATTCATTGGGTTATTTTTCGACATCTGAAAAATATGACGTCATCATCTTTCTTAAGTACCAATATATGACCTGTGATACGTCATTTGAAAGTTCCTGCGCCTGTTTGTATATACCTAGATTTTCCTAGGAATAACTGTGTCTTGTTTCTAGAAACAAACAATTAAATTTCGTATTAAATCTTTTTTTATATTTTCGTGCTTTTTTTGACTACATGTAATGCACATGATCACCGTAAAGTACATGATTAATGGTACTTCCAATGATGTATAGAATTTAAACATTGTGTGTTTTCTTATTTTATAAGTAAAGTTCTATTTATTGCACCGCATATTACTTGGAGTTTGTGTATTTTATCGTCTGTATCATTTATTGGTTTATTGTCGATGACAATTTTTTACTGTACGAGATACGGCCTTATGCCGAATATTATGTACAGGTATGCCATCACTTTTGCCGTTCTAAGAAGAGTTGGAGATTATATTACGTACACATTTCAATTCATTGAATGTATCGCTAGGTAAGATGTATCTTCTGTTTGTCGTAGTAATAGTGTATCGTCTCCAAATACTAGAGTATTTATACGTATATTAATCGAATTATATGTCGTAGTATTCTATTGATTTGCAGTTTTTTAGAACGACGTCAATGTATGTATATGTATATGTTCAAGTGGGCGGGAAAAATGCTGCAGCCTTGTCTCTTTACTATATTTTGTAATCCCCTTTATATTCGTTCTTGCTTCTAATCATAGTCATGAGTATTCTAATCACTGCGAATACAGTTTGGCGGATTGTAACAATATTTTTGAATTTTTTATACCAATAAAATAATTTGTTGCTCTCAAACGTTACGAAACGGGTGTAGCACATTTATATCTTTACTTGTATTTGTATGATATATTTTTAAATCTGCTCCGCTCTTTTCTACTCATGTATCTTCAAATCTCCCTGTACACTATTTTTAAAAATGTACTCAATATTTCTAAATATATAAAAACCCATTACTATTTTTTACCTATGTACATGTTTCAAAAATGTTAGGTAAAATGTAATATACTTGTGTTAGAAAAGTTCTAGGAAAGATTGATTACCAAAGAGTAAATTGTAAGGTTTAAAGATACATGTATATATGTTCAATAAACCATATTAATGTTTTGTCACGTCATAATTTTGTTGTGATTAAGTTCAGGTCTTGATTCTATAAACAATCCGAATTTACTCTGCCATTCACGCAGCAGTTCAATTTAAACTGTAAAAAACTTCACAGTGCTTTTTAACAAAAAAGTAGATCTAATGTTGGGTGCTAATTGTTTAATAATAAAACAACACCTCTTATCTTAATACAAACTGTACAGTTAGAAATTTGCGAGGGAAAAACGATTATACTAAACAGTCGTATTAAATATAAAGAAAACTAAGATTTAGTGAGCAAATCTTGCCTAACCTTTACAATAAAATAAATTTAAAAATATACTGTTCTGGCTAAAACAAAGATACTATCACATCTGGAGAAGAGCTGGTTATAGTTTCAAATGGAGATAAATATAGGCTGCAGTAGCAACAGCATTGATATTGGCTGTAGTGGTAGCAGGGCTGATATTGCTGTGGTGGCTTGTAGCTTGCTACATTCCTTCCATCAGCAGTTTTTGTCGTGAACACACACCACGTGGTGTGAATTGGGGAGTCCCACCAAAAAGTAGACAACAAGAAAAATCCCAAGAAGGAGATGAACAAATAAAATGGGTTTATGAACTAAAATTCAGAACTAACTAAAAAGTTTGAAATGATAGTTGACATAGACTATCGGAAATACACATAAACTAGTATACAGGGGTATAATAAGAGTATACGGTGGGGTGTATACAAATAGTAATTGAAAATAGAACTGAAGTAATTGAAAATTTATATTAGCTAAAGAAGAAAGAAAGCTTAGAAGAAAAGAATTATTTAAAGTAAAATATAGCTTAACAGAGTTTAACTAAAATAGTTGAGCGCCAACTATTTTTAGAAGAAAAAATAGTAAAACAAAACAAATTAACAAGTGGATAATATCAAAAGAGATTGGAACAAAATAATTGTTTAAAGAAAATAGGAAACATGTGACGTTTATAACGTTACAACATATTAGTTAATTTAATTTCACTGTTTATGAGATCCATTAAAAGCTGATGCAAATGACAAATGTCATTTATAGTGATCTCATTTTTTTTATTATTGGGTTAATACCTCGACAACTATGATCATTGGCATGGTACAAGAATTTTAAATGAACTGCTGTCGCAATAGCATAGACAATTTTAGTTAACTATAATTAGGGCCTCAACACGACTTGGCGACGTGACCTCAATAATTGTGTGGTATAAATACCAGATAGCAACGTATGCAACACACATTTTATTAAAAATGTACACAAGAATTGAAAAAATAGACTGATGTAAACTTTTTGCCAATATTTTTGGAATCTTAATAGGTTGTGTTGCTGTCTGGAATACCGGCACTAAATGGAAGAGATGATCTAAATGTCAAAAAAAAACTATAAAATGCAAAACAAATATGCTTTGCTGTGAGTGTATTTTTGAAATCTATGTATTTCCTTTTTTTATGAAGTACCAATTCCTGATCATGACTGACCTGTCATTGTTT